TTCAACCAGTAAAGAGAAYCACGGTCAAAGTTTTACCCAATCAGAACAGAGTAGGGCAGGTCATTCTTTGATTGACAGCTGGTGTGTGCAACCTTGAGTCAGATTAAGACGGCAGGTGTGAGGTATACGCGTGTCCCGGACGTTTTTCCATCGAGGATTACATATTTATTTAAATGTCTGAAAGCACCTTGCAAGCATTTCCATCGTAACACAGTGTGTGTTCACACACACACACACACACACACAACAAAAGCACGAGAGATCACTTGACTGTCGTTTTCAAAGCGGAGGCTCAGAGGCAGCTTGACGCCGACCTTCTTTGTATTATTTAAATGTTAATGTGTTTGAAGCATTGTTGTTGAATTATAGACATGTGTAACTTGCACGTGAACTCCTGATGCTTATAGGAGCAGCACCTTTAGTTCTTATTATTAAATAATATTAACGCTATATTATTAAAGATTAATATGTCCCAGATAATACACACAGACTTGTGTCTCCATTTGACTTTAATTTTTTTTCCTAAAATCACAGAGTTCTCTGAGAGTCAGCTTCAAATTTAATTACATGTGGTGTTTTAGCAAGGTGTTGTGCACCTACCCATACCCATTCATTCAAACCAGGTATGTTGGAGCAGAGGCGCCTCTAAAATATAAAGGATAGTGATCCTTACGGATCAGGGCTGGACACCTGTTTTAGATTTTTAGTGTTTTTCACTGTTGCTGTTCAGCAAAACAATCAAAACATCTTGTTTATTGCTGCTGGATTCTTTATAATTTACTACTGACAAATAACAGGTCACCCCTCTCCAATCTATCTGTTCAGGTAAGTTTTATGCTTGTTTGGGCTGACCAGCTGCCCGGATCTTCACAGAACACYGTGTATGAAATATCTTTACAATTTATTTACACGTTTTATCTTATTTTTTGGAACTCACGCTGGAGTTAGGTTGATCACTTTATTTATCCAGATGGCTTTGCTGGCAGCACCATAAAGGTTTTTGACGTCGCGTCCAACAGCTTCTGTAGACTGATGTACAAGCCGACTCGTCGTACGACTGAGTCAAAACGAACTCTGAGCCAAACGTGAAGTCTCCCAGGTGACCAAACAGACTCTGACGATTGTCAGTCAGCGCCACACAACTTTTGTTTACACAGGTTGGAGCGGAGCCAGTCGTCACTTTCCAGCGTCCTTGAGAGAAGTTAGTTTAGTGCTGAGTAGAGCGATGAGCTGGGAGATGAGGCCTTTAATTAGTTTCGAGGCAGGATGATAATTGATCATCTCTCTTGGCTAACCCTACCATGAAGGGCTCAGCATAATTAAAAACAAAATGCACCACACCATGCTGCGAATAATACTGATAACCCTGCATCGAACCCAAAATAAGAAAAATAATAATTATTCAGATTGATTAAACAAGACAAAAAATTTAAAAGAAGACATTTTAATTTGGGAATGAAAACTTACTTATTAGGCTTCTCCCTCTTTAAAGGAGTCTGCTGAATAGAAAGCGACTGAGAAAATTCCCTTGATGCTGGTATTGGCATTTCAGGCATTAGGTAAGCAGCGATATAATTAGCATTCATGAGTCAAGTAATTAAAACATCAATGTAACCAAGCAGTGCAGTTAAGACACTCGTGTGCTCTTTTGCTCRGTTTCAGCTATCAGCATTAAAAGCATTAGGTTGACTAAAACAAGCACTGTTAAACAGTCATGCACGCAATGTGTGAATATCCGTGTGCTTATTAGCGACAAGCTGTTCAGAAATCACTCCCTATTTACACGAAYACAGYGGCACAAAAGTTAGCACGAAAACCACTTTAGCACGAGGCACCTCCAAACAAGTACGCCRCCCACTTACTGCCTTTTAAYACCAGGCAATAACCTGAAAAACAAACGATAGAGACGCACTGCAAACAAGCTCATCCTCCCACAGAGACTGTTGRAACAACACTTTATTCACAGCCGCACCTGGAGAGTTTTTCTACCGGAGGATTTACAAACGATTATCATGGTCAGAGAGAAAACTCTGAGCTTCCTCGTGTAGAACACCCTCCCAATAAAGTAGTTTACTCCAAAGGACAGTCAACGGTGTTTTTAAGGAGACATCTCTGGTGCGTCATCATTTTACAGTTTCCCTGTTTTCACTACTGCAGCAATTTTATTTATTTATTTTTCAACCGTCACCACCTGACAAGAAACCCTTAAACCGTTCTCTTGGCACATAGCCTAAGCTCCCCAGCTGTCAGTACTGGTTTGGCCCATCCATAACATCATTCATACAGCTGGGGTGTGAAGTATCTGGCTCATAGTTGTCCGTCAAATGCCTGTCCACCGCAGCTATGTGAGCACATGATGYGAGACGTTTTGAGAGGCAGAGGTAACTGTATCCCTGACTTTATAAAAAAGGAGATTTAAATAAGCTTCAGCAAATGAGACACAATTGTAACTAGACATGGGTTTTTACGACGTAAAAACAAGTGTGCATGGCTTTGCCTGCAGCATTGGACTTGCAGAATGAACTTTGACCAAGTTCAAATGTGTTTTCCATACCAGCTTCTGCCTGTCACRTCAGCAGGTGTTTGTAATTAAGGGAATTGTGTGACAATATGAAGTTCAAAGAGATTTTTTGTTAAAGTTGCTTTAGCTGGGTTTTGAACCCTGWTCTCCCGCATGAAAGTCCATGACATAGACCATTAGACTGATGGAGCTGTGGCAGAGGGTTGTGCCAGGGGTTGGTTTGTATGTGTGCAGAAAGRGGCCACATTGCCAATGCAATCTTTGACACTAAACTGCAATATATTGCAACAATTGGACAATATTAAGACATTATTACAGTAAAACATCAAAATACAATCATATTAATATTGTAATCACTGAACTACTGAGTTTGAATATTATGAAACTATGGTGCAGTACCATATTATGTAGATGCAGCAGGGGGCAGTATTGGACCAATACAAGGCTCCATTGACTGCCATTATAATTTATTAAACATTAATATTTCAAAAACTATAAGTTTTACAGGCACCAAAAGGCATAGCCATCATTTGGCACAGGAGCTTTACAGATATAAATTACAATGGCTGCTGTAGGACAAAGTATGCAGGAGGAGAACCATACCAAATTTGAGATGACTTGGATGGGAAACGAATCACAATAGTGCACACTGATCAGTTTAATTAGCTTGAGTTGCTGCAGTGGGTTTGTGATTTTTTTTTCGTGATTTACTACGAACTTCAAACAGACAGAATGGAAAAATAAATCCTGACTATGGGCACTAAGTGTAAAATAAAATGGTAAAAATTTTCAATATTTAGCTCCCTTTCTGAATGTAAAAATCTTTTACCCACTTCTTCATTTCAGGGTCAGGGGGTCGGGTCACTGGTGCACATATTCAGCAGTCACTGTGTCCAGGGTGGGGTACACCCTGGACAGGTCGCAAGTCCATCACAACTGTCCATTTGGTCTGTAGGAGTGTAAAATATTTGAAAATTTTCCACTAGTAACATTTTATTGTAATTTAGTTCACTGCTCTTTTTCTTTACCTTTTTTTTTTTCAAATGTAACATTTAAATGTTAAATATATATATATAAATATTGTCCAGGGTGTACCCCACCCCTCGCACTGTGACTGCTGGATATGGGCACCAGTGACCCACGTGACCCTGAAAGGAATAAGCGTGTACAGAAAATGTTTGGATGGATGGATTAAATCCTGAATCTAAATGTGTAAATCTAAATCTAAACATTAAATCTTAAGATGGTGTGGCTAAATGCTGAAGTGTTTCAGAATGGAACAGAGCCTTTGCCGTTGGCGCTCACGTTTTTTTTTAGAACATCATCATCCTGAGACGATAGCAGCTGCTAACGCTTCCCCACAAAACATCAAATCAACAGTTGCAACCGGTGTCTGAGCTGCACTTCAAACTGCTGGTCCACAGGCACGATCCATATCAYTTTCAAAGGGCACATTTTGATATAAATTTTAAATGCCAGCTTTAGCTGTGTTAATGGTTTTGTCACAGGAAGATGACATCATAACAAAAGCTGCATACTGACGACAAAGGCTTTGTTTCACTCTTAAATTCTTATACATAAGAATTTAAGAGTGAAACAAAGCTTTATTTGCAACATTTAAATTAGACTGACACATTTAGGTTTAGAATTCCATAGCTGCATATAGCATTTAACATTTAGTAAAAAAAAATAAAATAAGCAAAATGTAAAAGCAGTGAGCTAACAATAAAAAATAGTGCAATTTTTTGTAACTAGGATTCTAATTTCACAAAGTGAGCTAAATAATGAAAACCTTAGCTGTTATGTTATACTTGACGCCCCGTGCCTTACTTCTTTCTGCTCATGACAGATGCAGTTGYCTTTTTGTGTTCAAGTCATGGATGGGTGAAAAAAGAAAACAAAAAAACACAACCATGTTTTACAGAGACTCCTTGTGACAAACTGCAACACTGAGTAAGTAAGTTACCACATGTCACAAGACAGGTGCAAAGGCAAACAAAAGTAGAGGAGGAAGTAAAGGGGAAGGGTGAAGGTGCCACAAATATTTCAGCACACATTTGTGACTGAGACATTCCTCCTGGTGTTATAGGACAGAACCCACTCCTGGGCTGGTGGGGGGGATCACACTCCCCCACAAGTCCACTGATCCAGATTCAGACAACTGTGTCAAACGATCACATCCATTAACTCTGAAATAAACGCATGGGGCAGCTTTTCACTGACAAAACTTGCCTGAGTTTTAAAAGTTGTGGGGAATAAAAATGGGGAAGAGTTGAGACGTGAGGAGCTGCAGGAAGCAGCAGCACTCCCTCTGGATTCCACTCAGTGGACATTTCGCAACACGTGAGGCTGGAGATAACAAGTTCTGCCAGTTGTAACGATTCATTGTCTGGCTCGAAAACAAACCAGGTTTTTTTTTTTTTTTTCAATGAAAACGAGACAAATAAAAGCGTTCTGCTCCCTGACAAACTTTACCCACCTTTTCCTTGTTGTCGTGCTCCGACAGAGGTGAAGTAGGAGATTTAACGCTGCCTACAGCTACAGCCTGGGTGACGGTGACACCCCCGCCCGGAGCCGGGCTCTTTTCGACTGTTTCCACCTTGATAAGTCGGTGTTTCGGCGACACGTACTTGTCCGAAGCCGCCACAGTGTTCAAGCTCGACACGAAGGAAATGTTTCCACCTGGAGTGTACGGGTCCTCGAAGTCCAGCTCTTTTTGGAGTTTGTAAGCAGTGAGGATGTCCGGCTGAGCCGAGCTCGGGAAGGTGGCCCCGGAGCCGCTCGGCGCACCGGGCACACCGGTGTGACAGTGTCTGTAGTCCGGCTTCGGAGGCGCCGGAGGGGGTGCTTTGGTAGTTTTGAATCCTAGGTGCTCCTTGAACCACTTGGCCATTCTGCCAGTTCATCGCTCTGAAGTCAATGAATGTTAGTTTTAGTTCCACCTTTTTTTATGTTTTGGTTGTTCCGCCGGCGCAACGAGAGTCCGCCACAGAGAAAAAGTGGGAATCCTCGGGGGTCACGCTCGCGACAGAGGTTTCGGCGCGTGTCCCCCTACAAGTCTCGTCGCGCGACTCTCTCCGGCGGTCCGAGGAGGAGTGCGCGTGAACCGGCGGAGTGCAGCCACAGGCACTTTAAAAAAAAAAAAAGAATCTGAGCTGCCCTGCCGCAACTCTGTCACTGGCTCTCTCTCTCTCACACACACACACATCCACACACACTCACTCACATCCACTCCCTGACCGCTCGGCTACTAAACCACGCCAGTTTTCCCGGACTACGCAACATGGAGCGCTTGTGCAAGAAGAGGAGCACACACACGTCCTCCCGCCTTTCACACAAACACACACTCAACCTGCCCTCCTATACCTGAGAACATTCACTGCCACCTACCGGAGTCCTGAAACTTCTCTCACTATTTGTGTGACTTCCACAAACAATCCCAGTTACACCACTGATTCAGCTTTGTGCTGGTTCTAGCTGCAGTAAAGTAGTGTACAAAGTATTTAAAGGTTCTCATTGCAACACATGAAAACATATTTATATATTAGAAAAAGACTGAAAAAGTTCACTTCTGCTGTTTTCCATATAGCTAAAATGAGRTACTGAAATGCAGGTGTGCACAGAGCCGGCTCTTGGCATAGGCGAACTAGGCGGTCGCCTAGAGCGCCATCTGCTGGAGGGGGCGCTGAACTGCAGAAGATAAAAAAGTAATTATTTGTAATCCCTGGTTGTAACTCTGCTCAGCTTTCAAATAGCTTTGACTTAAATATTATAATGAAGTATTACAAGAAAAATAAACTACTCTACCCATAAAACACCCCCCCCCCATGCAGCAAACGCACCCACCCTCTCTCTCATTTGATTGACGTTGCATTGACTCATCCTGCTCCGACACTCTGACAGGGGAGGGGCTAGTAGTGCCTCTCAGGTAGCAGTTTGTGTTGACAAACTAAATAACAACAAGTCTGTATTTTGTTGTCCCATACATGTCAACCTCTTCGGACGTTTACCTGTATAAAATGCCTTAAAAATTCGTAAATTTTGCAAAAAATCCAGACAACTCGCACCCGGGGGCGGAGTGGGGGTGGGGGGGGGCAATAAATCTAAGTTTACCATAGTACCTTACACTGTCAAACTTGTTTTTAGGGGATCAAATTGGGGTAGGTGGGACATATTTTGGGGTGTGTGTGTGTGTGTGKGGGGGGGGGGGGGTTGCGCTTCAACTTGCCTAGGGCACCATATTGGCTAGAGCCAGCACTGGGTGTGCGCTTAATGTAAATTTTTTTAGTTGCATATTTTACTTAGCAAACCTAAAATTCAGCAAAGACCTGGCAATCGCCTTGTTGGTCTAAACGTCATGTCTGAACTGTGTTATGGTTAGATATTGGGAATGGATAATTTYAAAAGTAATAATAATACAAAAAATCTGCCAAAATTCAATATAAAACTTCCAGAAAGCCTGGAGATCTAGTGTTCAAGACCATTTTGAAAGATTTCAAGAAAATTTGACTCCTTAGATGCAAAGYAATTCAAAGTGGATGACTCAAATCTTTTGCATAGTACCACAGTTTGAATCTTTAACAGTTGTTTGTTTTCCCACACCTTKTTCGTATTGGACATTATTGTCCAGACATTTCAAATTTTACAAAAATAATATTKAAAAGCCCTTCATGTATTTTACTTGTCTGCCTTCGATTTCTAAACTGCCTGCACTCTCAGGGCTCACATATCCAGATGTTTACAGCTGAGTGTATTAATTGCAGATTGCTCTGCAGATGGTAAGTGCAGAGGACGCTCCTAGTATATATTACTGTTGGGCGTTGTCCTTACTAATCCCATTACACAAATCCATGATGCAAATTGCTTGAAGCATCTGCACGAGTAAAYGTTGTTCTCCAAGGTGTCTTTCAGTCTCTGCAGAGGGGTTTGGTCATAGGTTCCTGTGCTTAACACTAATTGGCTTTTCAATCGAAGGACAAATGGAATTAAAAAATAAAAAAAGATCCCACTTCCCCTCTCACACTCCAGCAACAGTCTGCATTAAGAGGAGTCACGGCTGCAGCGCAGCAGGGTTTTATGAAGCAATATTTCTTTTTTAATATCACCACAGACACACAGCCTTGAGCGAGTCACAGTGCACAGATCAGAGTTTAACGCTGGCAGCCCCCCCGGGAAAGACAACTCCATGCTTCGAAGATCAACTCAAAATCCATTATTTCATTCAGTCCTGAAAACGTCTCCTCCGCTGAACTTTGGACATGCTGGAAAAACTTAACCCGAGTCGTTTTCATTTATTGTGTTGGAATAATTGCGTTTGAAAGCCTTGAGATTAATCTGATTAAGTGGCGTTTTACCCATAAAAGCTTTAAATTCTTTAAAAATGACTTGATGCACCATAATTTATTCCTGAAGTGGTGCTTTTCCTACAAAAATGTCTTAGGCCTATTATGATACATTAGGCTTTATCCTCCTTTGTGTCTATACGTCATTGCTGCATTCACCCTTTCACATGATATGCAATAACAAAAAGGGTTCATGCTGGAAGTATTAGAAGATCTGTGGTAGGCAGAACCAGGCGTGTCATTCAGGTTACCCAGTATGACTCATGTTACAGATCTTTTGTTGCACTGCTGTGATTGAGTTCACCTGCTTCATCCAGCTGCCACAACTGACACCCTTTAAAATGCAAATCCTGTAATCTAGCACCACATGTGATATAGGTATACTCTCAGAAAAACCCACGCAGGCTGCTTGCTTGCCAGGGAGGGATTTATAGAGAAATGTATAGGATTCCGCTGCAGCTATCGCACCTATAATGATACCAGGGGGTGCTCATGTGTTAGCACAAATTGTGGATACTCTGAATCTCTTCAAAAGGCTGAAAAAAATAGAACGTAGCGATTGAGTCATTTGGGGATTGAAATGATTGCGTTTCATTTAAACCTGCAGCTGTGTATGTCTCGTTTATTTTATTTTTTTCACTTGTGTTCCCTTTAAAATGCTGTTTGTTGTATCAGCAGTCCTTTAAAACTGTAAAAACCTATAGGTTCTTTTCAACTACAAGACAAAGCAGATGTGATGTAAACATGAAGCTATATGTCTGTTTGCACAAAGTAGAAATTTCACATCAAAGCAGAGCGTCCAGATGGCAGCGGATGTTTGCTGCAGGTGAATGTTAATGCCTGTGGCAGTTAATGCTGACAAGTCAAACATTTGACACTTTGTGCAAGACACAACAATGTTTCCCTTCTTTTCCTTTTAAACTATTTGGCAGTGAAAATGATTCTGCAGCAGGTTTCTGATGAATCAATGGAAGTGAGGCTGAAACGTAAGAAAAAAATGCCTGGTCAGAATACAGCTGTATATTTTCTTTTGGCAGTAAAACATTCTACGTTTGCCATTTAGAACTTCTACCCTGCTGTTTTTATTAGTTGAAATCAATTGAAAGCGGTTTAACTCTTTTCTGTAGCACATCTATGTAAATTAGCATTTAATGTGCAAAGCTCACTGTGTTGTAACATTTGGTAAATCGGTTCATTAATGGTGAACTTGCTCCTCACTTTGAATGAACGGCCTCAGAATGTCAATATATTACACTGTTTCTGTGTTTAAGTTAAAAAGTGTCAACTGTGTTTATATTTGCGTTTTGACTCCCACCACCCACTGGAACACAAGTTAGGAGTGATCAGGACTCTGTACCACAGAGCAGACAGTGTCCCTACAAACCCAGGAGCCAGGGAGAAAGAGAAATCACACACACGACAGGCCCTGGAGCAGTGTGGTTATCCTGACTGGGCTTTCCTGAAAGCAGACAGGAAACACAGACAGGATTCCATGCAACCTTCAGGTGAAAATGAAGACCCCAAACCCAGACCCAAACCAGTGGTTATTCCGTATGTTGCGGGTGTTTCGGAGAAACTGAGACGTTTATTTTCTAAACATGATRTCCCAGTGGCTTTCAAACCCCAAAACACATTACAGCAAAGGCTGGTTCACCCCAAAGATCCGGTGCCCCGGCACAAACAGAGCAATGTTGTATATGCTGTTAAGTGCCAGGAGGACTGCGACCAGTTATACATCGGGGAAACAAAGCAGCCACTGTTCAAAAGAATGTCCCAACACAGACGAGCTACATCTAATGGCCAGAACTCTGCAGTTTTCACTCATTTACAGGCCAGCGGTCACTCTTTCAGAGATGAGGATGTTCTCATTCTTGATAGAGAGGAACGTTGGTTTGAGAGAGGAGTAAAAGAAGCCATTTTTGTGAAGAAAGACCGTCCATCATTAAACAGAGGTGGAGGCCTCCGTTTTCAGCTGTCCCCCTCCTACAGCGCTGCTATTGCCAGTATCACTCCACCCCCTGTTAACAATAGGTGTTAATTAGGTGTCAACGATAGCCATGTGATGTGAGTATCAGTCACATGGAGGCAGGGCTTAAAAGCCTGAATTTTGCCTGAAACTCTCAGACTGAAGAAGTCTCTTGGAGGAGAGACGAAACGTTTCATTAGAGAAGAACCCGTCCAGAAGACCTATACAATTTTTTTCTTTTTGATTTTTTACCTGGATTACTGAGATGCATCAGGACAACTGTGTTTAATATCTTTAAACATTTGCCCTAAAATAAATTGACAAATTCGAACAGGAATTTGTATGCAATCTGAGCTTTTATTTAATGTTTTTTCCCCCCATTACAGTTACACAAACATGTTTATTTTTATTTCAAATGAATTATTTGCCTTTGATTTTAGGTCCTGCAACTTATGTTGTGTAGACTTTATATAATCCACTCTAATCAAGATGGAAGCAGATGAGCAAAATGCATTTTCTTTCATTCAAAGTAAAATCCTCATAAAACGTGCTCATACCCAAGGTCAGTCTGGCAGGGTTTGATTCTTTAAACTGATGAAAAGTTTTATATGTGAAAAGTCCTCAACCAAGATCATCATAAATGCTCAAGTAGAAAACAGATAGCTGCGAAAACTCATTAAAGCTCCCAATAAATAAAATAAAATGAAATAATAAATAAATTAATTAAAAATAAATAAATAAATGCAAGAACCTAAACAAAAAGCAGCTACAGATAAGCAAGAGACATCTACAATAATAAAAATGCTTTGCATGTTAAATCTATTCTACAAATGCAACACAACCAAGAGTTTAGTGTCGCCGGTTCAATTCTACATACAAACATATAACAGGTTTATTACTTTTGAGTACAAAAAACAACACAAGAGCCAATAAATACTTAGTACACTTTTTTCATATTTTGCCATGTTGTTGTATACTAATATCTTAAAACTGAACGTATCATTTGAACRTTCATGTCTGCAGACTGACACAAGGAGCTCAAGCAAAAATAAAAACCCAGGAATTTATCAACAAAAACAGTAGGCTGGCGTGGCAGCCAAACATTTACAAA